ACGACATCTATCATGACCTGAGTGGAGGTCGGACACTTAACCGACGGAGCCACCCAGGTGCCCCAAGGCTAGGATTATCAACCGATCTATGTCTGCAGAGATCTTTCTAGCGGGAGAGTCAAAAATGGGCACGGTCAGGTTATAAGGCCAAAGTATGAGGAACCCACGAGAATGAGAAGAACAAAGAACATTAACTCTGTCTGCTGTCACTTCTCATTCCACCACGGTTTAAAAAAAATTCTTTTTGGGGCGCCTGGGTGGCGCAGTCGGTTAAGCGTCCGGCTTCAGCCAGGTCACGATCTCGCGGTCCGTGAGTTCGAGCCCCGCGTCGGGCTCTGGGCTGATGGCTCGGAGCCTGGAGCCTGTTTCCGATTCTGTGTCTCCCTCTCTCTCTGCCCCTCCCCCGTTCATGTTCTGTCTCTCTCTGTCCCAAAAAAAAAAAAAAAAAAAAAAAAAACAACGTTGAAAAAAAAAATTCTTTTTGATATTCAGACAGTATGAAAAAGATACAACATGAAATGAACTTAAAAAAAAATGGTAAAGACAGGTTTCTTCTTTTTCTGATTAAGTACTCACTGCATCGAGTAGGGTAGGGGGAGCCGGGTCACTATGTCAACAAAAATCCCTGAAGGGGCAGGCCCAGGGATTCTTGCTCCCTCTCTTGTTATCCAGGAAGGAGACTACAACCTAGGCCGCATTTCCAGCTGGAGAGGCATTAATCAGTCCTTGGCCCTGCTCTCTTGTTTCCAAAACGTGGGGAATTTTCCTATCGATTCCATTTCCGTTTCATAAAGTACATTAACTATCAAGTCCTATTTTGAGACCCGGATTTAACAGAGAGAACGCTCAAACACTGCAACCAAAACTTTTTTCTCTTCTCTCAGAGCCTCAAAATAGTTCAGTATTTTCCTGCCAAAGAATCCATGGACATCACTGCACTACTGAGAATATCCACGGTCTCAGCAAATTGCCACAAAGAGCACTGGATGTTTCTGGAAGGACAACGGTCGCAATTGCTTCTCAAACCTGAGTTAAAAAAGGGAAGTATTATGGGGAAAAAATGTGAAGGAAAATGAGCAAATCAAACGTTGAGCTTCTAAGGGCAAAAGCATTCATGCCCGGAAACCTGTTTAAAAGGAGGTTAGAAACTGAAGGTGAAAGCCAGTACTCCAGCTGCCACTCCAACCACATCTGAAGGTGGGTGCGGGGACACAGCAGAAAGCGTGAGCCCACACCCCAGCCTGAACTACTCATGTTTTATGAGATTATACGTCGTCTCGGGGTTCTCTGGAGTCAGCCGTGAACAAATCTCCTTAAAAATGCACTCTCTTGCTCTTTCCCTTACTCAAGAGAAACTTAGGGAAACAGTTTAAAGTGAGTCGTGCTCTTACACGCCGGTCGTGTCACACGCAAAAGAGACTTCCTTGACCATTTTTAACAAAAACACATTGTAGGAGGCTACTCTAATTCAACGTATAGCCACCCAGGTTATTGATGCTCGGCTGAAAAATACAATTAGCATTTCTAAAGTATGAAAAGTATGTCTAATTTGCTATACTTTGAGAAGTCTCTGAAGGAAATCCAATCGACAAAATTAACCGCAAATCATGAACTTGCAACCTCATCATGCGGCGGATGGTAAAGCAGGGCTCTCAACCACCGTGCGCCAAGTTGCAATGGATGTGAAATTTACTTTTGCTTTAACTACGTATACCCGTGCAATGACAGGTGTCTGATGGGACTGTTGACACGAGCAGGTTCTATGATCTGGGGATGACTAAGAGTTTCTAGGTGGAAGAGGTAGTAAGTATAATGAAACGTTACGCTTGTGCCTAAAAAGAGACCACGTTAGAGAAACAGACACAAGTAGGGAACGGGGGAGGACACTGGGGTGAGGGCAGGGACGGGAGCACATTACAGGACTAAATATAAATCGGGTTGTCAGGGTAGACCTCGCTGAGAAGGTGAAGCCTGAACGAAGACCTGAATGCAATGAAGATACAAACACCCAGATATGGCGGCGCCTACTCGGTGGGCTCAGCATTTGACTCGATTTTGGCTTGAGTCATGATCCCAGGGTCATGGGATCAAGCCCCGTGTCAGACTCTGTGCTAAGCATGGACCCTGCTTATGACTCTCTCACTCTCTCTCTCTCATGCTCTTTCTCTCTCTTAAAAAAAAAAAAAAAAAAAAAAAAAAAAAAAAAAAAGGAAAAACCCAGGTAAGTGTTGATGGGAATGTAAAACAGTTCAGTTATTATGGAAAACAGGTCATTCCTCCAAAAAGTCAAACATAGAATTACCCTTTGACCCAGCAATTCCAATCCTACGTATATACCCAAAAGAATCGAAACCATGTATTCAAACAAACACTGCACACGAATGTGCATGACAGCACTTTCACAATTGGCCAAAAGGTGGAAAGAACCCACACGTTCAATGAATGAATGAATGAATGAAATGTATCTACAATGGAATATTCAGCCATAAAAAGGAATGGCATACAGATGCACGCTAGAACGTAGATGAACTGTGAAAACATTTACGTGAAAGAGAAAGAAGCCAGACACAAAGGTCGCATGCTATATGATTCTATTTATATGATATACCCAGAGTAGGTCATCCCTACAGACAGAAAGCAAATTAGTGGTTGTCAGGGGAGGGGAAGAGAGAGGGGAAGGGAAGAAGGGAGGGAGAAATGGGAAGTGAGAGTTTGATGCACACAGGGTCTCACTGGAGGGGGATGAAAATGTTCTGGAACTAGCTAGAGGTGATGGTTTGCACACCGTGACTACACTAAATACCAATGCGTTAAGCTTTGAAGGTGTTAGTTTTACGTTATGTGAATTTTACCTCGATTGAAAACACACAAACACACAAGGTAAGGCAAAAGTCCTACGGCAAGCCCATGGCTAACCTGTCTGAGGAACACATAGAAGGCCAGTGTAACCAACCAACCAACCAACCATCACAGACAGAGTGAGAGAGAGAGAAGGTCGGCAAATTAACAGGGCACTCAGGGAATGCAGGGAAGTGACTTCGAGGTCACGTTCCAGGACTTGTGTTAGTATTCTTAGGAAAGGGGGAGCCATTACAAGGTTTTGGGAAGAATGACATGACATAGTGAATAGTGTAGAAGATCATGGTGACTGCTACGTTGAGAACAGGCTGTAGGGGGCAAAGGTCAGAGCAGAGACACATCCTCGCAGGCTACTGCAACCATCCGGGTACGAGAGAACCATGGCTCAGAGGTGTGTCCGCAACCTGCAGGATACTAGGTTTCGAATATTTACCTATATAATTCTTCCACTCACCCCAAATGCTCAGTAAAATGCCAAGACATAAAACAGAAAATAGGTAAGACTTGTCTCAGTGAAGTGAGGAGGAAGGCTTGGGGGGCTTGGTGTTCAGCCCTCTTGCTCATTAGATGCGACTGGTAAAGGTCCCTGAGATGCCTGAAAACACAGCTTTAACTAGAAGGACATAAAATAGATCAGTGGTTGTCAGGAGAAGGTGGGGAGGAAAGGGATTGACTACCAAGGAGCATGGGGGAATTTTTAGGGTGACAGAACTGCTCTTCTTTTGACTGTGGTACCGGTTCCATGAACATGTGCACTTGTAAAAATCCATACAACTGTGTACTAAGAGACGAGAAATCTACCGTATGTATATTATGCCTCAACACACACGCAAGATTAAAGAT